TACATAGGCATCATCAATTTAAAGTCCCATTTTACAGGCATCGTCCTTTGTGGGGTTGTGGTCTAAGATAACCGCTTGTACGCTTCATGTCTCTCTAGTAATCCTTAGGTGGGCATCTATCTATTCCTCTCCCCCAACCTCATCGTTATAGTAGTAGCAATGAGAATGAATAATCATCTTTAATATCTAATAAATATGAAAGTTAGAACTTCCTTAAAAATTTATTATAATAATCTATTGATATTCTCTTCATATATTCTTGAAATTCTTATATAGACCCAGCGTCCCATTTCATTTATGTTTTATTTAATTAAAACATGTTATGTTATAAATACAAGAAATCAAGGAGGTATTCTTTTAAAATAAAACCATTAAAATAATTACATATAAGATTTGATTTAATTGAACTGGTGCCACATGTAATTGATATGAATTTTATATATATATATATATATATTGTTGGCCTTAATTACATATATTTTGATTCTATTTATAAGTCATTTTTAATATATTAATTAAAATTAAAATAATTTTAAATTTTATTAACTCTATTTTAAAATTTACTAAATTTTCCCTTATCCCTTAATAAGGATAAAATAATTTTAAATAATTTTTTTAATATTTAATAACGGCAAAAAAAGATAAGATAACATGTAAAATAGTAAAACGTCCTATAATAAAATTAAAATTATTTTCTCCTTCTGTTATCTAAATAGGACAGGAGTATACATGAACTAATAATGAAAACATTAATATGAATTAATATATGATATATATATATATACTTAATTCTAAATTATGGACAAAAATATTAAGAGGGGGTAGTTTGGTAAAAGAGAGACAAAGTGGGAATGAAGGGGATAAAGTAGCGTACGGAGTAGGAAGAGGAACATAACTACATTCTATCATAATTTATATGCACCTGCCAACGTGGAATCATAAGAGTGGGTAAGGAAGGTGTGAGACCCAGACACAGAGAGAGAGAGAGAGAGATGTTGGGTTGGGGGGGAGAGAGAGAAGCCTGTTTTAGTTTTACGGGGAGCAGAATCGGGGTTTGGGCATGGAAGGGCTGGCCATGCTGAAGCAGCTCATCGGTCAGCTTCAAGAGTTCTTGGACCTCTACGACTCCACCTTCCTCTTCTTCCTTCTTCCTTCCTCTCTTCTTCTTCTTCCTCCATTCTTCTACCTTCTCAGCAACTCTTTTTCTCCCAGCCTCTCATCCTTCACCAGCGCCGCAGGTTCCCCCTTCTTTTTTCTATCTTCCTCTGGATCTATTTTCTCTGCACTGTCTCCCTCTTTTGATGATCAATTGTTTGAAATGAACCTTTCTTTGCAACTTTTTGAGGGCGGATGCTGTTCATTCTGCTCGCTTATTTTAGTTCTTTGATTCCTGTGAAATGTTTCCGTTGTTATTGACTAATATGGTTTTTCTCGGGGAAAGTTAATTAGAGTCTTCATGTTCCGTAAAAAATGTGTGTATAGGTTTTGATGTTTGTTTTCTTTGTCCTTGGGTCGAAGCATTCAATGGCAATCATTGATAAGCGTGTCCATACTTTAAGGAACGAGGTTCTGAAATATGACAGTCTTGCAGATTATGTAAGATTTTCTTTGATATTCTGTGGATGTCATTTCTGAACTTTTTCCTCAAATGAAACATAAGTAATGAAATCTTCATTTGGTTACCGTGGATACTATGTACTTCTCAATCGCATTTGGCAATCAGATGCTCGCGATTTCATTTTCCTCCTTGACTCCTTTCTCTAATTGTTTTTTTTTTTTCCTTTGTTTATTTCATTAAAAACGGTAACCGCGTTCATTGGGTAAAATGCCATATTTTCTGTATTTTCTTGCATTCTCTTGGTTGTAAGTCTCGTTGTTCTCGGACATACGCTGGATTTACAGCAACAAATTACATGACGATAAGAAAAGGGCGGAGAAAGAATAAGCCGAAAATTATAAACTATTGTGGGATGATTTAGAAAGAAGTCGGGGACATGCAAGAAAAAATATGAAACAATTTGCTCAGAGCATTTGATAACACTTTATTTTTCTACAACAAAAAACACTGGGGAGATCATTCCTTTGGAATTGTCATGCGATTTATGAGTCAACTGTTGAAAAGAAAAATGTCTGGTCTTTCTTTTCTGATACATGATATTAAGTTCATTAATATCATTGATATCAATTTGTAATAATTAATTAAATGCTAATTTTGTGAAGGACACTGGCCATCAAGTAATCACGTTCATTTCCACTTGTAGAAAGCATGATTCCAGTTATCAGAAGAACTAGGAACTATGAATTAATGTATTGCACTTCTATCTAGTTGTGGCAGTCCTTGCTGGTCGGATGTGTCCATTTCCCCTGCCTACTCTGAACATATGTTCTATTTTTGCCCCTTTTGATTTATTATTCACGTATGTTCATGGTTGCACGTCTAGAGTTCTGCACATGCTATGTGTGTTCTTGCAGTCGCTGGGGTAAACAACCATTTAAAATTGTAGGGTGTCTACTGACAGTGATTTTGTTATGCAAAAATAGACTTGATTCCTTATAAGTAAAGGTCTGGATTTGAGATTTGAGCCTTGTGGATAAAAAAAAAAAAAAACAATGAGAAAGCTACACTCACTTAGTGCCTAATAATACTCAAATTTGAAGTAGGTAGGTAGTTCTAGATGTCATATTGCTTCGAGAAAAGTTGAGTTTTTTTTTTTTATAATTTAAAATGGAAGTTTTTCTATAGCAGTTTTGCATCTCATCTGTGTAGCATATGTGACATGAAAAATTAAGTGAACTTATTCACAAAAGTCCAACTTTATTCTTCACTCCCTGCTGAATGGAAAATACTGAATTGTTCCCTGTAGATGATGTGGTAACATATTTGAAGCTTTTTCTCCCCTCATTAAAGGAGCTAGAACATGGCAAGGAATGGTCAGCCCTTCAGGACAAAGAGACAGTTATTAGTTAGCATATTCATGCAGCCACCAGGGGGAGAATTTAACAGATTAGTACACATAACTTCATTAGTAGCATTATTAACTAACCAGTCCACATCTCCATTCTTATCTTAAGGTATGTGCAGCAAAGTCATGTTCCAATCCTTATTAGAAGCCTTCTTATGTTGGTAAGAATTTCCTAAAAAGGACGGTCTCCCGCAGTCTCAGTATATTAAATTCCATTGCTTCAACTGAGTCGGTCTGCACTGGCAAGTCCCTCAAATTGCTGTTCCAGCACATCTGTAGGCCCATTTTTATGGTTCCATGGTTCTGCAATAATGCACAGATAGAATTGCATTCTGCAATTAAAGCCATTAGTCCAATTCCTCTGTCATTTCAAAGAATCCCTCCAAACGCTGTCTCACCATTGAGCTAGGAGGCTCCATCAACATTTAAGCACCACTGTCCTTGTCAAGGAGGCGTTCAGCTTCTCTGCATTACATATATTGCTCTGCATCTCCAAGCTTCTGTCTTGCTGTGGTTGTCTTTGATGAATCTATGAATGCTGCTTCTGATAATATCCTCTGAGGTCATGTCTCTAGCTTCAAAAACTTTTGAAAATCTATTAGTCCATATGGTCCAACAAACATGGGCAAATATCTGGTTCCAATGGATACTGTCCACTCTTCTGTTTTCTGCTTGTTGATAAAAATTCCATTGCAGTCAATCCTTCCTGTTTAAAGAAAAGGTTTTCCGATTGTAACTTGGTAGAATCTTCTCCGAAACCTCCTTTGGGTTATGAAGGGTGTATTTGAAGCATTTCTTGATGATGCTTCTTTTGGAAGACTGATACTTTAAAACTTAAGTTCCCTTGGGTGTAGCACTAAGACTAGCATATTTACCTCATGAGAATGAGCCAGGATTCCTTGGCACTAAATTTCATTTACCTAAAAAAAACTGGAAATATATGCTCTACTTTTCTTTTGTATTTAAACATTGCATGTGCTTGCGAAGTTTGTTAAGAGATCTGGCTGCACTTCAAATCTTACTGGTGAAATGTCTTATTTGGTCATGTGTAGTTCAGTACCTAAGCAAGCTCAATATACTCTTGTTAGAGGAGTGATGGAGATATTTAACTTGGGTACTGGGTGGATCAGTATGAGCCATGAGCTGAAGTCATCAGGCCAATGAACGGATTATTCTACAATTAAATACAAACAAACACGTTCACACACACAAACACATGGGCTGTAGGAAGTTTTGTTTATTGGACCTTGATGCCTGCTATGATATTGCTGCACTGTAAGGTTTGGATTTTTTTTAATTTATTTTATAGGAACTGAAGGATGAATTTGGTGAATCGGTTTCGTGCCAACATAATGTCACATAAACGTTTCTAGATGAAATGAATACTGAATCAATTGAAGTTCTTTTTCTTCAAAAAAGGAAAAGAGAGAGAGGAATGATGTGTATGCCTCCCAAAATAAAGGCATATTGAATGGAATCTATACTTGGGGCTGTTTAAAAATTTGGCTGGCCCAGTCAGGACCATAGTTGGAAGCAAACGTGAATCATAGTTTTCATTTTGCTGTCTGCTATTTTCTGTGTCCATATGCCTTTCTATTTTGAGCCATGTTGGTCTTTTGAGCATGTTTATTCTATTTTTACTCTAATAGTTAGAAGCAAATGAATGTATTTGTTCTTCTATTTCACAGATGGTGCTTCGTTGATATTGATGATTACTCTGTAGATGATTGCCAAGAACTTGTAATGGCAGCTGGAAAGTCTCGAAGTTTCAACATGTTGGAGCCTTTAAAGCCTCCACCGACCAAGAGGTCTCGAAAAGAGAGAACAAGGGGAAATCATCTTGTCTGTCTTGTGCAACTGACGTTATGGAACAACAAATTTGGAAGGATTTTCCTGAAGATTTATTAGAGGCTGTCATAGCACGACTTCCCGTTGCCACATTTTTCCGATTTCGCTCTGTATGCCGGCGATGGAATTCCTTGCTGACTTCTCAAAGCTTTTTTCAGCATTATTCTCAAGTCCCACAAGCAAGTCCCTGGTTTTACACCATAACTCATGAAAATGTGAATTCAGGAGCCATTTATGACCCTTCTTTGAAAAAATGGCATCATCCTGCAATGTCAATGCTGCCTGCAAAGATGATTGTTTTGCCAGTGGCTTCTGCAGGGGGCCTCGTTTGCTTCCTTGACATTGGTCACCGAAACTTCTATGTCTGTAACCCACTGATCCAATCTTTCAAGGAGTTGCCAGCACGATCAGTCAAGGTCTGGTCTCGTGTGGCAGTAGGAATGACCCTAAATGGGACTTCAACTAGCGCTGGCTACAAGATCCTATGGGTTGGTTGTGATGGAGAGTATGAAATCTATGACTCAGTGAAAACTCTTGGATTCATCCAGGAAACATGCCTGCCAGCATCAAGATGCCATTATCACTCAACTTCAGGTCACAGGCTGTTTCAATCGATAGCATGCTATATTTCATGCGTTCCGATCCAGATGGGATCGTCTCCTACAATATGGTCTCTGGGGTTTGGAAACAGGACATAATTCCAGCCCCGGTGCATCTGACCGACCACACACTAGCTGAGTGTGATGGACGGATCATTCTCGTGGGGCTGCTGACAAAGAATGCAGCCACATGTGTATGCATATGGGAGCTGCAGAAAATGACGCTCTTGTGGAAGGAGGTTGACAGAATGCCAAACATCTGGTGCTTAGATTTTTATGGAAAGCGCGTTAGGATGACTTGCCTGGGAAACAAGGGCTTGCTTATGCTGTCCTTGAGATCGAGGCAGATGAACCGGTTGGTTACATACAACATGGCGAGCAGAGAATGGCTTAAGGTTCCTGGGTGTATAGTGCCACGAGGGAGAAAACGGCAATGGATAGCGTGTGGGACCGCGTTTCACCCAAGCCTTACTGCAATGGCTTGATTTGATTTGTATCTGCAACAGCAGTGGCCTTGATGCTTATGTATGTTGTTTCCACTTTCATTGTGATTTAACTAAGTAGATTAGGAGAAGGTGGTTCGGTTTCATGTTCCAAATGCCTAATCCTTGAACGTCTCCGTTTGTTCCTGTCTTCCTGGGTACTATAATAAGCTTAGTAGTTTAATGTGGAAATTGATGGACTTCCTAATTTTGTAGAATATGAAAAGGTGGTTTGTACTTTGTAGTGTGTGAATGCTGTGGTTGTGGTCCAAATGCTTGGACCTCGCACATTTCTCAGAAATGTGATTTGGCTCCTGGTTGATTTACTATTTTCTGGGTACTACAATAAGCTAGTCGACTGAATTGGTAATTGTTGGACAGACTTTTTTTTTTTAACCCAGAAACATGAGTTATTTTTAAAAAATGGTAATAATCATCAGGCTAGTCTTTTAACCCCCTGCTGGAACATCAAGACCCTTCTTTTTTTGGAAGGTTTGTTGATGGAATGGCAAAAAGGATTATATATATATATATATATATTACTTGTTTTCCTTGTAAGGGCTTATTTGGTATGATGGAATTTTGGTCTGTGAATTGGAAATGGAAATAGAATTCAAGAAATAGTTAGTTTGATGTGCTAGAAATCAATCTTATATGGAACACAAGTCCACTAAAATTGATGAAATTACCTTCCATGTTGGGTGCCGTGGAAATGGCTGAAGTTTCATGAGATTGTTATTTTTGGAACAATTATACCTTTAGTTATCTTATGTAACAAGATCCAGAATTTAATTCCTTTTTTTCAAACACTAAGGTCCTTGTTTTGTACTTTAATTGGTTTTAAATGGAAGAGTTAGATAACTAATACATTTAGATTGAGAAAATTAGTTAAGTCAATTATTCGTAAAAAATTTGCTTTTTCTTTAAGATATCCCTTGTATTCATTTACATTGGAAACTATCTCTGTTAATTATACACAATAGTAGATTGTGTGAAAAATAATAAATATGAGAAATAAAGGAAATTGAAGTCTTATATTTAGGATCAAGACAAATTCCTCAACTACCTCTTAACATTGAGGACAAAGAGTAATGAATTTTTGGGTTTAAAAAAAAAAAGGTTTTGCATTGAATTACAAGCAATGAGGCTTTAAGTTGAAGCAATTCCCCCCATTTTTTCCGGGACAGAACGCAAATTGAAAGAAACATCAGAACAAAAATAGGATTTGAAACTAAAGACAGCTTGACGTCTATATTTGAAAGCCAATGGATTTATCTTTTCTGTTATTGATTAGAAAGGATACCTGCATTAAAGCAAATTCAGATACCAGCATCACATGCCTCATCCTTAAGATATTAGCAGCACATAGTAGATTAAATATCATTGTCTTAATATTTTGTATGTAGTAAATTGTTTTTATTTTACATTTTATTCACCTCAAAATGAAAAATTTTAAAATTTTGACAATAAAATGAAATAGAGGGCTAAATAGTAAATTAACTCCTGAACTATAAGCCTAAAAGCGTCAAGGATCCTAATTTTTTTTAATGCAATGTTTCCTTTTAACTTTTAAAAATGATACAAAATTGCTTCTATTATTAACAAATATTAAATTTAACTATTAGTTGAGTAAAAAATTACAAAAAAAATGAAAAAAAAATTCTTGATCCTTTTATGTAATTTGAGGTTATTTTCTGTAATTTTTGAGATCATTTTTTATAATTTTTGAATCAATTACCATCAAAATTAATATTTATTAATTGTAGGAGACAATGTGTGTCGTTTTTAAAATTTGGAGGAAAAATATTATATTAAAATAAGTTTAAGATTATAAATGTTCATGTACATGTAACTTAATGATGAAATTACCTTTTTAATCCTAAAATAAAAATATGAGTCGTCGAATTTCAGAATGAGCGATCAGATCGGATCTCATATGAGCATCCCAAAACCATACAGCCAGTAAAAATAAGAGAATTCTGAGCTGCAGATAACACAAATAAGAATAGGACCCAAGCAAACATATCTGTTATAGCAACTTTGATATTGTCCCCCGTGATTTCCTCTTATGACTTAGAGACTTAATAATTTTTTTATATGACTTGATTTATTTTTCTTTACACGGTTCATCCGTAGCCTTATATTTAAAAACCAAAAAAAAAAAAAAGCGATTGTGGTGCAAGCCCATGCATTAAGCCAAGAATGGATCAAAATTAATTATGATTTAGTTGACATTTGCGGTGAATTTATCTGGAGATTTTGTTGCAACGTGGTTGTTGAGTTCAGTTCCTTAGAATCTGACAATCAACAAAGCTTGTGATTGATTCAGACATCCATCGTCCAAAACACTGCCTCACAAGTCAATTGATTGTTACCAAGTGAACATCAATATAATAATATTTTAGCAACTTGTCATTTCAATAAGTGACATTGACACGGCTTGCAAAGAAAAGAGCAATAATTTGCCAAGTATTTGCCCGTTTAAATAAGCAGAGAAATTGATTTGACTCAAAACATTTTTTTTTTTTTTGGGATGCCCCCCTAATTAGCCGCTTTTACGGCCAAGGGGGTCCCTCGAAGTATCCCCACGGCTTCAGCAATTCTCAAGTCAACAGCATGGAAGGAGGGCTTCGCCTTCAAGATTTGCCACTTTCCCAGAGGGTCATCCAAAGAAACCAAACTTGTGTCCTCTTTCTCAGGGGTCGCAGCCCACATTCACTGTGCCAACGTCTTATTGGTAACATTTTGTTATTATATATCAGGTGACGGTAAAATTTTGTCTTTGAAATTATTTCTTGAGCCAAATTGATCATTCTAGTCAGAGTAAAGTGATCCCCCAATTGTCAAAATCATTATAAAGTTGCTCTTGGACTTACAGTTAATCACCTTAGCCATTAACTATAGAAAGACAATTTAGTTTGACTCATATTCCCTCCGTTTTTATATATAAAAGAAAAAAAAACATATCATATAATTTAAAAAAATTAATTAATCATAATAATTATATCTGAAATAAAAAAATTAAACTAAAATGCTCTATGTTTATCAACATATGCATGTATTAATTATTTTTCATTGATGTAAAGTATGAGGGGTGATTTAGAAAATGTGTAATAAATGTTTATTTAAATTTATGATTTTGCTTATATAAAAAAAGGCAAAAAGTTATAATTTTTCTTACAAATAAAAGTAGAGGGAGTACACGATATGATTAGGTTAAAAAAATCATTACATTAAAAGCCAGTAAATTATTTGGGGCAAACAATTGATATCCTAAAATTCAATAATGTAAAGTAAATAGCATTTGTTGGGCCAAAAAAAAATTAATTAGCCATTTAGCATCTATATCTTTTTTTTTTAACCAAAACACGCCATATTATGTTTAGATTATCACATAATATTTGTTAGTTAAAAGAAGTCTATCAAATGAACTAATGGTAAGCTAGCAATGATGTTATAGGTTATATATGCATATCTTGGTTAGCTTGCTATGTCTACAACTATATTTATAGCTAACCAGGAATAACATGCGTTTACGACCTATGATAAAATCATTAGTTGATCATTAATATTAGTTGACAGGCTTTTTTTAACAAAGAATATCTAGTTAGCAAGCCCAGTGATCCATTTCGTCTCCTTATTTATTTTAACCAAAACATGTGATATCATGTTTAGATGTTGACCATTAGTGTTGGTTGAGATAGATTTTGTTTTTTTAACCAATAAATGTCTAATTAGCAAATAAAAATAGACATAATGTGACAACACCATTAGTTGATTAGTAGTTTAGGCTGATAGGCTCTTCCCCCCCCCCCCCCCGCGCCACCCTAACTAATATGGTTAGAATGATAAGCTATATGATTTCTTAAATATAATGTCGCATGTTTCAATACGTTGTGAGATGCTTGTTATTATTAAATTTTAAAATGCTAGTTACTTCTCTACAAATACTTTAATACTTGGTTAGATTCTTTCTCCTTGGCATCCCATGTGTGAGTCAAACTAGCAATATTCTAAGGTCAATGGCACAAAAATTTTGATATCTAAGGAATGACATTGCTCCGACAAATAATATAAGATAACCAATGTTTCTTAAAAACAATATTTTAAAGGAAAAATACTCTTTGACACTTGTATATTTTAAAAGATTTCTCCATAAATAATATTGATATGACTTCATTATTCTTAATCTTTATCATAATCAAGATTTTCAATCAATCAATCAACATTCTTAATTAATGGAACAACGCGCCCTTCTGTGAAGATTATTTCAAGTGTAAGCTGGATCTCGATCAGAGTCCTCCCCTCCCTCTATCTCTCTCTCAACATTCTCAACATTCTTAATTAATTGAAAAATGAGAAATTACATAAGAATGTGTGTGTGTGTGAAAAAAGAGAAGGAATAACTAAGAGAGATTCAATTTGTACTTGAAATTTGAAAAATGAGAAATTACATAAGAAAACATGGCATTTTAGGTTGTCTGGTTCCATGATCTTATGAGCACATTGATATTGATATTAATTACTTGATGAGGAGGAATTTAGTCAAGCCAATTAACAATTTGATTATAGGATCTAGAAATCTAAAGAGAAGAGCAAGATCCAACAGAATTTACCCATGGACTCAATCAGTGCCTATCAGTGCCTTACAATCAAGATTCACTTATGATTGAAGGGATGTGATGTTATTGAATAGAAGAAATAAAGTATAAAGTCATGGGAAGAGAATTTTTATTTGGCAAAACCAACATGTGGGCTAGTGCCAAACTGCCATACCCTTATAACTTAGTGGTGTATAAGCTTCCTTAAGTAAGACATTGTGAATTCAATCCCGCTTATATAACCTTGATTAGTAGTGCATGTCCTTTTAATTAAAAAAAAAAATTTGAGCTGGTTAACAACATCCAGATCCATGATGGGAACCCAAAAACTAAAAATTATGGTTTCTTGACAATAGCTTGTAGCTATCATTAGTTCCCTATGCTTATGACATTGACAATGCACAGTAAGATATCCCACACTCTTGATTTTGAATATTTCAATTTAATTAAAATGGAGCACCATATGTGATGATTGCTAAGAATGGAAGATCCAGAATCCCACTTGTGGATGAAGTAGCACTTACTAATTATGATTGTGCTAGTACATCCCTTCGGAAAGGCACTATAATCTTTTTCAGGTTTATCATCATTATTATTAGTATTATTATTCTTGGGACCAATTTGGGGTCATTATGATTATCATTATTTTCTTTTTTAGTGGAGAGGAATTTCATTAGATTAAACCATGCAGCATGTACAGGAAAAGTAAAAAGCAATTACATTAAACTTTTAAAGGAGTCATCATCATCATTATTATTTTAATTTCTTAAAATATCCTTATAGCCAACAATTATGAGACTAATCTTTCAAAGAATATGAGCACCATTTAAGAAATTATTCTTTCCCAAATAATATTTTTATCATATACACTTTTAAAATCATCAAACTCTAAAATAATATTTATGAAATTCAAACCGTTTTCGTTTGTGTCACATTCACTTGGTAAGGGGTCATTATTATTAATGGCACTAAAGCTCCTCATCCTGCGCGTTAAGAACTAAACAACCTGACCCAGATGATGATGGGTTGACACTTTATCCTCTAAAGACCAAGTCCACATGCCGGCCATGAACCTGGTCATTAAGAGCTTGTCTGACCCACATAATACAAATTGATGGTTTGAGACTTTATCCTCTAAAAGAGAAATAGACTAAGTCCTCCTGCTACCATGAAAAATTCTAAGAGCGTGTTCAGATTTCAGTTGAATAAAATCAATTACATAAAAAATTGATAATAAAATGAAATTTCAAAATAATTGATTATAGATGGAGTTACAAATAGTTTTTCTCATAATGGAATTTCAAATCTATAATATATCATCAAATGGAGTTTCAAAAAATGAAGTGTTTGAGTGATTTTTTTCAAAAGAGAGTTTCGGGAGCCATGGTTAATCGTGAAGGGATATCTAAACATATCAGAATAAGAAATTACAATCAAATCCCAGAATAAGAAAATTATTATGGAATAACTAAAGTTATTATGGAATCCAAAATAAGGAAGCTAACCTCTCTTTTAGGAAAAATTGCAATCAAATACCAGAATAAGAAAATTACCATTTACAAGTCAAACTTTTATATTTACATATTAGCCTACAACATTTACAACTAAATAATACTTGTAAGTAGTAATCAGTTTTCTTATAAAATTCTCTCTCTCCCTCTCTTTTCCAACGGTGTCTCAAAAGTGAGATTCATTCCTTGAAATATATGAACACCGTTTAAAAAGTTATCTTTTTTTTCAAACAATGCTCTATATACAAACCTTTAAAAATCAAATTTTAAAATGAATTTCATTACTTACAAGTATCTTTCTATTAAAAATAATATTATTTAAAAAACAGTATTATTTAAGACATAAATGAATACTAAATATGAACACTTTTATCGACAGAAATTTAAATCTTAATGTGTCATAATGTGAAAAACTAACTTTTTATTAAATCCAACGTCTTTAATCTCTCTTTTATTTTAGCATAAGGACAAATTGGATTAATTAAAACTTCAACTTACAAAAGGGGAACTATAACTTGAGATGTTTAAAAAGTTTAAAACCTGAGTGGTTGCTGCTTCACAATTTGATGCAAAATTTTACACACCAATGGTAACCCTTTGATGTTCGAGTCCATCATCATTTTCCTCCTCTTTGATGCGCCTAAAGAAATCACCAATCATGCATATCATTTTTTTTTTTAACAAACAATTATGCATATTATTATTGCCTCAAACTCTCATTACTTTGTGATAATTCACCTTCTTCAGCCTCACCAAACAAGGTCAGCTTACCCATACTTAATAGTGCTTGCGCGCATAATACGTAGATTTCTGTATATTGTAAGGCAAACAAGAAGGGAATATATTTTATTATTATAATTATAAATATAAATCCTTTCAATTCCTCAAAAGTTAAACCATCAGTTTAGTAGTAGTAATACAGAAGTAAAAATAAAAGTATTGAGACTTTCTACATGCTAGAAAAAAGAGATGACAACACAATCCAAAGAAAAGCTCCATTTACGCCATGCCTCCACTCGTTGCTGTTCTGATTATCTGAAACAGAGCTGTTCAGAAACGGTAAAAACAAAGTATGATCAGTGAACTATGGAAGGGCCTTTATAAAGATTTAACGAATATGATAACACAAAGGTAGCAATTGAAAACAATCTAAATCATATTTTTTCTATAACCAAAAAGCTATTGTCATTCCAATTTTAATTACAATTCAACTTATTATTTATTTTTATTCATTTTCCGAGAACATTCTGACTTTCAGAAAAACACATGCACGCAACAAATACTTCAGTTACAAAAATCCTGACAAGAGATCCAGATTGTGAAAACTTGAGACCTTGACCTCTATTGTAAAAACAAGCCATATTTAATGTCAAGAAGCACGAGACAACAATATATATTAAAAACGCATTTTGAGTTCCAAATTTGAATAAAAAACAAAAACCAGAGCCTTACAGGATCCAATGACCACAAAGACAAAGAATCCCAGAAGAACAGGCCCAACAGGATAGTCTTTTCCCTTCTTGGTGGTTGTTTCTGGCACAAACCCTCTTTTAGTGATATTTTTCTCAAACTTCACCACCTTCCTATCTGCAAGGCGCCTTGATGTCGTCTACACATGTAGCAGACATCACAATTTCATTTGACATCAAAAGAAGAATTAAAATTCAAATGATCTATTGCTAATTTGGAAAAATATCGCAACAAAAGGAAACCTCACATGCTCAAATCGAGATATCATTCAGGAAGAGCGGAAAATACTGCAATCGTACATTTAAATCCATAATTCGACACATATTTAACACAAACAACAGCACAAAGATCAGATCTATATGCTCAATTGAAGCTAACAAGCAAAAGGATTGCATTTATGAATGATAAGCATCACCGACAACCAGATTCACGAACATTCAAAAAAAGAAAAAAAGAACAAAAGAAAATAATAATAATTGTTAACTGCGATCAAACCAGTAATTAGAAAACAGTGGACAAACCCTAAGATCCTAAATGACCAATTATGTACAGAAAGTACCGGTAAGGAAGCAGATCAAGGATTCAAAATAAGAGATGAGGATATCGGATAGAAGAAAGAGCAAAACGTACCATGATCGTAGCAGATCGGAGACCGGAAAAGGCTGGAACAACAAGATCGCCGGAGATTGACAGAAGCTAGCTGGTTCCGGCAGCACCTTCCTTCTTCCACCCTCTTCAGGCAGACAGGCAGCTCGTCCGCGTAAACAAACCAAACAACGGCCGCTTCTGTTATCTCTCCGTTCTCAAAATAGGTTGAAGCCAATTCTACTCGCGGTTAAAAAATAAAATAATTGGATCCCCGAGCCCAGCGTCACGACTCCTTCGCGATTGGGCCTGGCCACGTATTCATATACACGCGTCATCCAATTATTGGATGAAGTACAAACGTGGCGTTGAATAATTTCGAAGGTCACACAATGAAGGATTTTTTTTATGCAAAAAAAAAAGTTTTCAATAAGAAAAAAAGTACAATTATTTTTTAAATTGCTTACAGTTAAGTTTTTAATATATTTTTTTAAAAAAAAGTTATAAACATAAATTTAAATGATTACAAAATCAAGAATTTTAAATGTAAATAAAATATTTGAATTATAAGTGTATCTCTTAATTTACAAATAGGATTATTGATTTTACCTGTCTTGAATCATTTTTTTGTTCAAAGCCTAAAATTTTGACTTTAATGTCATTCTTCCATTCTTTTTTTACACTTTTTTTTTTTTTTTATCTGCAACTTAGTTGAAGTGCAAACCTGGCGTCGGATAAGGGATAACCATGAACTATATAAAGGTCAAAACGAGGAAGGATTTTTTATTTTTTTTATAAAATATCCATTAAGAGATTATAACCTTAAGTTTATTTTGTTTCAGTTTATTTTATAATTTATGAGTTTTTATTATATTTATTCAAACTTTTAAAAATAATTGAAATAAAAAAATAAATTCTTGATTTTTTATGAAGCTATTTTGAGTATCTACGAAAAATAATCTAAAAAAAATATTTTAAAAATGTGAAATACATAAAGAAATCATAAAATTCTAAAAAAAAAAAATGATAAATTATTTTTATAAAATAAAAAATATATCATAAAATTTAAAAATAATTAAACAATAATTATTTTTTTATTATTACAATCAAACATAAAATAATGTCTATTTTCTTATGAAATCTTTATAAAATAAATTATTTTTATAAAATTTTTAAATTATTTAAAAATAATTTATTTTTAAATTTTAAATAAACAGGATCCTTAGTAATTAGTATTTTTTGTAAATCAATTTAAGAAAATACTGTTTATCTTTTTATCTACAAGTTACTTGAAGGATGCTTTGTCTCCGCATCGCCACCTGTTTAACGGCAACGGCGTCGTGACTCAGTTAGAACGCGGCACGGCACGTGTACTTAACTGGACAGCAATTGCAAATCATGATAGAACTTTGGGCCTTGTGGGTTTTGTGTCCAGGAATTATGGGCTTACTGAAATTGCACCGGTTACATTAAGGCCCGTTTAAAGCCCATCAAAAAGAGCCAAGTCTTGGGCTTCGGCCTATTAATTCTCCCACAAAAAAAAAAGAAACAGAGAGCCATGACTCTCTTTAGTCCCAAAAAATCTAAAAGGAAGAATTGACACTAAAGCAAAAAAAAAAAAAAATTATTTTGAGATTCCAATGCCAATTTTTGTGTACGTGGCAACTTAATTAGTTGAGAAAAGTTTACCTCTTATTTTCAGTATCTTGAGAAAAATAATATTTACTATTGATAAAGTTTGCTCATTGTGCTCATATATTTAACCAACAAAGGTTGGGTGTAGCGGAAAAGACTGTCTCTTACAGAATAACAAACTAAAATTTAACTCTTTATTAAAAAAAATATCTATATTTAATATGGATCGTCTTGCCTCTAATATAAATATACATGTGAGTAATATTAAAAAAAAAAAAAAAGCAAGAAGGAATTGACACGTTAGTGCAGATGTGAGTGTGACATATTCTATATTATCATTTCTCATTTCTGTTGAATGATGTGTGGGGACAGTTTGGTATGACAACATTTATTTTGCCTCAATAAGTTAGATGCCGTGGGTCTTCCAAATTTATACTTCTAAAACAACTATCATAAAATACAGGATATTTCGCAGTTCAGAACCTTTATATTAAGTAGGTACTTCATTTCCTTTTGACTTTGTTATTTCGTTTTATTACGTTAATATAATTACTCTTTTATTTAAAAAAAATAGCTATTTCATTCATTTCAAATCATTTTTAATCCACCAAAAGATTGAATTTAGCATGGGAGAGTTGAGACCTGTAAAATTTGAAACTTGTAGTTTGCCTTTTAGGCTGCATAGGCTGCAAAAAGATATTGGGTCACGGCTTCCAAACTTTCCGCAGTTCTATAGAACCTAATTTTAATTTTTTTATTATAATGTTTTTTCATCAATATATATATATATATATATATCGAGAACGTTACCAACAGTACTTGGTTGAATGAGATGGAATACATTCTTTTTTTTAGATGTCTATGCTATTTGATATCCCATAATATTAGGTCAAATACATCCCGTACTGCTAGATATATATGCTATGTGATAAATAAATGTCACATTATAATAAATTAATTATTTAATTAAATTATAACTTAGATGAATTAATGTGAGAATTGAACACATAATTCAAAGCAATCAAAGAGGTTTTTTAAAGGCAAAAATAGCATAACAATCAACGACTCAAGAAGCTGCATTGTCTTGGATTGAAAGACACATAAAAATTATCACCATTTTTCCTCCAAAAATCAAGAGGTAGCTCAGCCAAGTCACCAGTTGGTTGAAAGCCATAACCACTTGATAAGTTTCCATCACTTTTTTTTTTATTTTTTCCTTTACCAAATTCATGTGCCTTAGCTCTCATTCAAATTCAAATTCTCTCTCAATTTTTCATTTCCAAACATTTTATCTCACTTTCTCACTTGTTCATCCATTTTCACACTCAATCATCCACTTATATCTTTCTCAATTCTCAATCAAATCATACAAGACTACTCACATTCTTCCCCTCTCTTAAATCTCATCTCATCCTTACTAATCATTTAAGGATTGAAAGTTCAAATCAACCATGATGAAGATTCAAGGGTTCAGCCAACTTTGGAAGAGCATGAAGATGTCAACTATAGTGATAGAAGGTTAGAGATCATGGAAGATTCCTATGAGGGAGATAAAAGAGATGGAGTTTACATAATATTCATTTGACTAAGAACTTTCTAATCCTAGATTTTTTTCATTTTACTTCCAGTTGTAATCCTAAATTTAAGTTACAATTTGATTGGCTTTTTACTCTAATTTGAATTCATAGCCTTTTGTAATGAGCGAATTCTTGTTGACTCTATTCTTTGCCTTGTTCAACAAGTAAGAATTTCGGCCATGTCATGTATCTTGAATTAATGTGATATGATTTGTCTTGAATTTGCCTTTACATAATCTTGTGGGTTAATTCATTGACTTGAATTAGGGTGTTGCATAATTTTATGATATTTTTATGTCTAAATCATGCTTTGGCCATGGCTAATTTAAAGAAACACACCAAGCTACTTAATTTAGTGGGTTGGTTGTGGCTTAGTTCACTTTAATCTAGGGAATTAAGTTAGGTTAACTAGTTAATCCAGTTAGGTTTAATTGAATCTAGGGAAAACTTGATCTAGTGAGGAATGGATTCTTAGTTAAACACTGTAATGGGCAATGAAATATCTAATATTGAATTCCTAAAGATCTCCATATATAATTGACATAGGATAATTCACTTACTCTTTTAGCTTAGCTTTCACTAGTGTTTTCTATAGCTTAGTTTAGTTCAAAATCTCAAACATTTAAGTAATTTGTCCACTTAATAATCTCATAATTGAATTAGAATACTCGCTAGAGAGATGACTTAGGATCGACTCTTTACTATATTAGGTTAAAACTAGAACTATTTTAAAGGGTGTGTGGTAAGTTGTTCAGCACTTTGTATCCACTACCTAATAATTGGCTCAAATTGAATTTGAATAGTGCCTTTGCTATGAATTATGAAGGATATTTTATAATTGAAATTTCACAATTTACAAGTCAAATTTTGATATTTGCAACTACAAGGTCCTTATCATACATTAATATTCTCCTAGATCCTCAATTGTCATTCTGCAATTATTTTATGGCACAAGCAGGGATGGAACTAGGTAAATAGATTTTTTTTTTTTACCATCTAGGTAAATAAATTTAGGAGCAGCCGTCCCAAGAGTTATGACATGACATGGGTACAAGCATATGTAACATGGTCTTGCCGCCCCTAAAATTAAATCCTCTCTCCTAAATTATGAATTTGCCTACCTCTAAAGTCATAAGTTATAAATGCCACCCCAAGAAATTACAAAATTCTCAGGCTTTGTGTGTGTGTGTGTGTGTGTGTGTGTGTGTGAATGTGTTTCACGTGCACTGTGTGACTTTTTCTTAATCAAATTAAAGAACACAATGTAACAAGGTATGAATAGACTACTACTACTACTTCACAAAGAAAACAAAACTTGTAGACAGCCATGAGGATCATGATAGATGATACAACAAAGGCTCATTTATACTTGGGACCCAAATACAAATTAAAACTCAAGCAGTGAGGTGAAATCAAAATTTACAGTTTGCATTGTGTTCTTTTACAGTCAATTTAGTTCAGTACTTTTTTATTTTTGAAAAAATTAATTATTTGGTCATATAATTTTGATTTGGTTACAAGTTTGTCTTGAACATTAACTCAATACAATTCATTCTCTATATAATTTTAACTTAATTGTAATAAAGTCCCTATAATTAATCCATTGGAATTCAGTCTTTATAGAGTTTAATAATATAAAATGTTAAGTTTTAAAAAATAAATTTAATCCTTATAATTTTTTAATAAAGGAACTAAGATTTTAAATGGTTAAAATTATAAATATTAAGCTATACCAAATCAAAATTCAAGTGTTGAGCTACAATAGAATTAAAACTACATAAATTGAGTTATAATGAATCAAAATTTCAAAGATTGAATTATAATCAAGTCAAAATTATAAAAATTAAATAATTAATTTTCCATTTACATTTTAATAAGTTGATTTATGGAATATTAGCACAAATAAATACATGCACATCAGCATATGTGCTTCTTGCTTAAAATTTTGTCTTCCTAATCACATTATCTTTGATGTTAAATACGGTCTAAGACTAAG